GCTTGGAGCAACCTGGGCTGGTGGAAGGTGTCCCTGCCCATGGCAGGGGTGGGGCTGGATGGGCTTTGAGGTCCCTCCCAACCCATTCTGTGGTTCTGTGGCAGGGTGGTGATCTGTGAAAGGTTGGACTCGATGATCTTGGAGGTCTTTTCCAACCTAAACGATTCTGTGACTCTGTGATTTACTGAGAGGAGCTGCTGTGGCTGCTGTTGGATCCCCTCAGGAAAATAAACAGGCATTTGCTGGTGTTTTCAGAGACAGGTAATCTGTCTTTTAACAGCATATCCAGTTTTATCTCTACAGAAAGCCAGGCCCTCACAGCACCTGGTTCTCATCCCACCAGCAATCCCCAATCACGAGTCACTCCTGAAAACAGGGACACATTTATTGATGCCAAAGAACTGGAGCCTCAGGGGTTGTTTCAGTGCCTGTCTCACAGCCCCATTGCCCCGGGGAAGGGGGTGGCAGGGCAGGGGTTGCCCAGGGGGACTCGGGCTGTAATTGCCCTCCAGGGCTGGCAGGTGAGCTGCCTCAGGTACCTGTTGGTGACTGGTGAGGCTCCTTCTTCTTCTTAATGCCAGGGCTGGGCTGGCAGTGCCATCCCCGTGGGCACAGTGACAGCACCAGTCCACCCACGCCGTGAGTAAACTGGGTATAAAAAGCTACAATATGAGTCTTATCTGTCACAGATCCAAGATGGAAAAGCCCCACACCAGGGGAACAAAGTGATGCTATTTTAGGGTTTCACCACAGATATGCAGCGAAACCCCCACGGTTTCAAACCCCACGTCACTCATCAGATAATTGCATTAATAACCTGCAGAGCTCGTCGTAAACCCACTTTGCATCCGTGATTTACACAGATTGGGCACAAAAGGAATAGCCAGAAGGCTCAGGTTGTGCACTTGACCCTGTGCTGTCCCTCCAGGGCAGGGGGATGGTGGGTTTGTTCAGCCTCTGGCACAGCCAGGTACTGACTTGATGCCTGAGGATAGAAAAGCACCCAAAGCAAAGGTTTTTACAGACCTTAGTGGCCATTCCCTTTGGATCATAGCCCTCCTGGAAAATCTACAGACACAGAATAAGGTGAACAACGTGATTGTTTTCTTTTTCTGCAGATATTCCGATTTTTCCATGCGTGTTTTCAGGCTGAAAATCCAATTTGTATGCACAAAAAAAAAGTCAAACCAGCCGGTTCTGCCTGTGCCTGTGTGCAGCTCTGGGCCATGGGAGGCAGCACCACCAGCTCCAGCACATTTCTGACAGGGCACTGCAGCACATATGGAAGGAATCGAGCAGAACCGATGTTTTACAGGAAACACCGAAATCCTGTTGGGTTTTTATTATTATTATTGTTATTTTTGGGGGGAAAAAAATTAAAAAAAAAAAAATGTTCCCAAATCTTTATTCACGAAGCCTAGCCATGATGATATTATTATTTTTCATTTTGCCCTTTAAAGTGAAAAGAAAACAAGTCTAGCTAAGGGATTAATTATGTGAAATGTTGGTTTTATGCTATTCTGCCCATTAAGAGAATTCAGGCAGTTGCTGTTCGAACTCAAATGGCAGCATTTTGTCACTGCAGGTGTTGTTCCATCCAGCCAGGGTGGGGTGCGGGACTGGGAGAGGATCTGGCAGATCCTGTGGGATGCAGAGCCACGGGAAGGGGTTCCCAAAGTTCTGTCTGTGTTTGCCTTGCAGGAGGTGCCCAGGGGTAGCAGTTGATGTTTGAACTCAAATGGCAGCATTTTGTCACCGCAGGTGTTGTTGCATCCAGCTACAGTGGGAGAGGATCTGCCTGCCCGGCATGGCAGATCCCATGGGATGCAGAGCCTTGGGAAGGGGTTTCTGAG